GACCTTACTCCTACCCCAAAGCTTGCTAATCTATTGGCCACCAGAGTTAATATACAAATTCAGGCAAAGAAACTGTTTCACATGACCAGGTGATATGAAATCTGGCAGAACTCAACATAAAATCTATACGCTCGCGTATTCTGACGATAGTGCACACAAACAAAAATTTTTAAGCGAAAAAAAAAACAATTGAGTAAAAAAAAATGTTGCCACCTTCCCAAGGCCAAAAGGTGGTAAATGAAGTTTCAGCGTAGATAAAAATGCGAGAGGGACCTAGAAAGAGCAGCCAAAGACCAAACCTTGCTCTTTTGAAAACCTGAAAGAACCTGCAAAAAGTTTTTGGCCATGACTCTTCAATATACGATATGCTCTGTCCTATAACCCCCATAACCCGAATCCACAACCCTTCCACCGAAAACTATTTGGTAACCAAACATAAACGCCTAATAACAGTAGCAGCCAACCAATAATTCCTGCTCAATGAAAACCCTAATATTTCAAACTCCTAATCGAGTCTTTCAACGCAACTAATCTCCTTTGTTGAATACTACTGAACTGCTTGGTTTCATTAGGACGGCCCTCAGATTTATGGGGTTTAGACGGTTTTGAGGTGGGGCGTTTTTATAATATACCTTTTTTTATAAAAGAGATTATGGGATAAAATAATAGTTATCGATAATTTTTTTAAATTTAATAGTTACAATATAATTATTACAGAATTTATTTTTCATAATTAAGAACAAAAAATATTACAAAGACTTAAACAAGATAAAATAGTAGTATCTGGTTATTTTTAACTTTAGCAATAATCAAACAAACAAACATTAATTTGTTGCTATCTGGTATAACGAAACGACTATGTTATTGTAATATGATATCTGATAACAACCAATCATAATCCATAATTATTTGATAACAAAATTAGAATTATGAGAAAAAATTAAGGAAAAAACTAAGGTCAATTATTCAATTAAATTATGATAAAGAGAGAGAAAAGAATAAGGCAAACAAAATTAAGGGAAATTTAAAATTAGGGTAAAATTTGATAAACAGGAGAAGCAAAAAAATTAAGATAAAAGTATTCTATTAAATCTTGAACATTAGACTTTTATTTGAAACTTATTATATCCATATATATTTTTGTTTGGAACTAATTATTATTAAATTTTAATTTGGGCTAAACAATAATAATAAATATATTATATTTAATTTGCTCAATAAATTTTTTTGAGAGCCTTTTAGACTGAGGCCTCAAATATATATATAAAGCAAAGTGACACCATCAGGTGTCTGACCAGCTGCTTGCATAGAGTGGAACAATGCCAATGCCTCGTCCAAATCACCTTTCTCGGCATACCCACCAATAATGGCAGTCCATGAAACACAAGTTCTATCTCTGTCCATCATGCGATCAAATACATATCGTGCAGAATCAATATCTCCACACTTGGAGTACATGGAAATAAGGGTATTAAGTACAGAAACATTCAAATCACACCCTACTTGAATACCATGACAATGGATCGATTTACCCCGATATAATGATTCTGTTTTCACACATGAAGAAAGCAAGCTAAGAATGGTGCTCACATCGGGCCTGAATCCATCAGGGGTGGGGTGTGTGAGTAAGTGTAAATATGAAAGTTTATGGTGTGTATTAAGTAAAAAATTTATTTATCAAAATATTAAGGGTGTGCCTTGAGTAATGGTTTGCCTTGAGATAAAATATGGTGTGTAAATAGAGGCACCCTCCACACCACTTTTCCTCTCAAGGCAAACCATTAATTAGTTTATTTTTTATTACAATTTTAACCTTAGGTAAAATGACTACAAAGGACAAGCTATGATACACACCATTTGTATAATTACTATAAAGGACAATAATGAATAAAATACTCATCAACAATCTCAAAGGCGTTGCTTGCGTATCTTGTCTCTCAAGGAGCCAAAAAGCTTAAAACAAAACCAAAAACCATTAAGAAACAACCAAAAATATACGTATTATTAAACATTTTGATTGGATTCAATGAAGGATTCATCTGGCAATACTGATTCGGAACAATGGAGCAAGGAAAAGGTTATTTTTTCTTTTTCGTTTTCGTTTACTTAATGAGTGGTAAACGTTTGAATTGTGTCGAACATAATCCAATTCTTCGGTTTTTAAGTATCAAACAAAAACCATTTGTTCGGTTATAAACAGTCGAACAATTCCATTTAATTCGACTCTGTATTGCCGAACACTAACAACATTTTTTTATTTTTTGGGCTTTTTCCAGACATGTGCATCCATAGAATGCAGTAATGTTGGATCTGGGGGAGATGGAAACAGAGAATGAAGGGGGGAGATGAGTGTATTTGTACGATTCTCATGAGAAAGATTATGGTACACACTATTTGTACCATATTCACCTTATTACTACATTAGAAAATCACATAATTCCACACTCTCAGTCATAATAAAAAAATGAAAAATAAAAAAAGCCATAACCAAACACCAATGAGGCATAATCCAAAATCTCAAAATAATATCATAACTAAACAAAAAAAAATTATCATAACTAAAGAAGAAAATGACGTACTAAGGGTGGATACGGTAAGGGATGTGTATACTAGAATTCTCCGATTTTGATAACTAAGATAATCAATATGTATAGATTCATAAATAAGAAGTTAAAGTAATATTTGATAATATTTGAGAGAATGTTTGTATAATTAACCTAATATTTTGTGAAAACTCAACTTGCATGATTTTATTCCATACTAGCGATAAGTTTAAATACAACAGTTTTATCTTTTAGAAAAAAACACACCTTTTATTTTGTATAAAATACGATTTGATGATTGATGAAAACCTTTTAGCAATTTTGGATGGTTTGGTGAACAGTTATTGAATGTGATAATTTTTGCAATATGAGTTATTATTGTGGGGAAAATTTTGACAATTTACATCAAATTAGGTGTAAAATTTGTATAACATAAAATAGATTAAGTGTCATAACCCGACCCTGTCATGCCATCAAAATAAGACATAATCATCTATTCATAAAATCCATAAAACATAATAGAAATGTTACATATTACATTCATCAAAGTATTCCTTACAAAGATATCAAACAAATACATGCCCTACGGGCTTATAGCTTTCCAAGTCATCACTTGGTTACAACAAAGAGTCCTAACTTTATACATAGAAAGCCCTAGGCTCGAATATACATTTAACAATCATAACGAATAACAAAAAGGAGTCTTCAACTCCAAAACCTCCCAAGCTAAGATCTTGGAGGCGGCATATCACCCGTACCTAAAAAATAGTGTCCCAAGTAGAGTGAGCCAATGCCCAGTAGAGATATGCTAAACAGTATGTGAGAATTAACTAAAACATTAGTATTCGATAAATGTTTAACACTTGTAAACCAATTTACACCGTTTCCATAATCAATCAACATTTATACCATAATAAATCCACTTCCGTTTAAGTATCCAAATCAATTCATTGACTTAGCTCAATATTATTTAGACAGTTTAAAATGAGACTACAACCCATATTATTAACACTTCATATATAAACATCAATCATACACTTCCATTATCTTGCCATTTTACGGAACTACGTCCAAGGGAACCGGCACCCAAATATAAATAAGATTTCAGGACTTTCACCCTGGACACTCCGGCCAACTTAATTATCTATGGAGTCCATCCCCTATCTCCTTCCAAACAATGGAGTACATCCTCTATCTCCTCCCAAACAAAGATACATATACAATGTATTTAAACACGTCGTCATATACAATAACCAATTCAATCACATACACAATGTTTACATCCAACCGTCATATTCAATGGCATATTCCAATTGATTAGTTTCAATTTACCTAATCATCATACAGTTTCTACAACAATCATGGTTATCCTCCACCGATAGCCCCAAAACAGTTATTTCTAAACAGATAAATAAATCTATCAATAGATAATTTATCAACTTATCCATAGGTGAGTGACTTATTAATCCAACTACACCATTTAATCACATGTTCCTTCAATTCCATCATTTCCAAGCCAATTTCATTAAGTACACAACGAATTCACTATTTCTACAAAATAGTTATTCAATTCCAAACTAGGGCATTTTCCCCCAAATTCCAAAAACATTGACCCAAGGTCCAAATCTCACCATTTCAACAATTATACACCATTAACCCCATTTTTAAGATCTCTCTTACACATAAGGAGTTTAAATTTGAAAACCCCTCTTTCTCAAATCAACAACCAAACCCTAACTTCACTCAAACCAACCATTTATACAAAATAACCAATATTAATGTTAAAGCTCATAAAAATGAGTATATTACCCGTACCTCAAGAAGAGAAGGTTTGCCAAGCAAGAGATGAACTCCAAACATGATGAAACCAACTTCTACCCGGATGAAAATGGAAATCTTGAAGAGCTTGATCTTTTTATCAAAGGATGGAGGGTGAGGAGATCACTAGATCTAGGTCAAAATGTAGAGAGAGAGAGAGTGTGTGTGTTTTAGAGAGAGAGGCTCTCAACTTAGGGTTTTGGAAAGTTTTAGAGAGAGAAAGGACAGAAAAAGTGATTTAAAAAGTCATTTTCGCGATCTGATATATGCGCAGTTCGCTTGAGTGGAGAGTTTGACGCTCGAGCGTCAGACAAAAATTCGACCCGCTCGAGCTCAATAAAGGCCGCTCGAGCCAAGACACAATGAACAAGATGCTCACCGCTTGAGCGTAGAAAACACACATCCAGTAGTTTTGCAAACAACAGACCAACGCTCGAGCGCAAGAAAGGCTGCTCGAGCGCAAGAAAGGCTGCTCGAGCGCCCACCCGCTCAAGCGTAGGAAACGTCGCTCGAGCTTTATGAAGAGTGTTGTCTTCACATGTTTTCCTCAGCTAGTTTTACTACCTCCACTAAAGTACTCAACAAAAATAAGAACACGTGTTTTCCCTAGCTAACTGAACCATATTTTTAAAATATGTGCTCCCAAAAAAGAACAATGAGACAACAAAAAAAACTACACCATGGAACACGATACCATATATAAAAGGATTTTTTATTTTGTTGCAAAATGAATTGAAGCATATATAATGAAGATAAAAAAAATATACCTGACACAACAGAAAAACAAATGGACCTCAAAGATTGCTTTGACCTTCTTTCTTTTCACTTTTGATATTGTTTTCTTGTCACTTGATTGGGCTCACATCAAATTTCAGAGGCTTTATCTTCAATATCAAATACACCCCAATAGTTTTAATTGGCCTTTCACAATTATTTTCTGCTGTAACTGAAGTTTAGAGCTAGGGAATTAAAATAAAAGAAAATAGAGACAAGGAGAGATAGAAAGAATAGTCGATAGCCTGAAAGGCGCTTATATTGTAGAATGAAAAGAAGAAAAAATATAAAAGGAAAACTCACATTAGGAATTTTATGATGGTTCTTCTATGAGGATTAAAAGCAGTACGCTATTCTTTTCCTCTTTTACATGGAGGCTGAATGGAGCTTTTCCTTCGATTTGAAAGGATATTGGATCTGAAAGGGTCTTGTTAGGTTTTTATTCTTAGCAACCCTGTTTGACAAAACTCCTTTAAGTTGTATTTGGTTTTGCATTTTTTATTTCAGCGAGGCTATGAGTGTTTAGATGCGAGTCCAACCCGAATTGAGCCTTACAGAGAAGTTTGTGATGTTAATGCTTTCAAGATTGCCACTTCGCTGATTATGACGGGGGTCAAGCTGCCCAGTCAGCTCACGCCCAAAGCAAAATGCAAAATTGCATTCAAAGTTGGATGTCCGCCCTTGCTCGCTCGAGCGAAGAAGTCTTCGCTCGAGCGAAGGATTGCATCTATACAAAACCCTGAAAGAGCTCATTGTTCGCTCGAGCGAAGGGTTCGTGGCTCGAGCAAAGGCACTAGTGGAAATCACGCGAGTTAAGGTTCTCGCTCGAGCGAGCTTCAAAATCCAGATGCCTATAAGGAATTGGTTTTCTTCCAAAACTAGGATTATTTTGGATTTCTATAAGTAGTTGGTTTTCTCCCAAAACTTTACTTACTCCTCTAGATCTTCTTCTTGGATTCTAGGGTTTATATCTGGGGATATTTTGCTAGTTTTCTTTGATGTTTTGATTGAGTATTCAACTCATGGTTTAAAGAGTATACATCAAAGGATTATTTGTTTGTTCTACACAAAAGAGAGAGAGTTGTTCTTCGGTGGATTCTGAAATTCGAGCCTGAAGCTTTGGTGGATTCCGGAGTGGCTCATCGTCAAGACAATTCCGAGGTAAGGAAAAATATTATAAAAATAAAGGGTTAGAAGATAAATTAGGTGACAAAAGTATTACATTGAAATGCAAGTTGAAATTTAGTGATTTCATTGTTGCAATAAAAATAAAAATAAAAAATAGCCAAAAAGTCCCAAGGAAAGTTAGACGGTAAAAATTGT